CGGCGGGGGGTGCTCGAAAATCGGCACCAGATGAGGAGGGGTGAATGGTCAGACCCGAATCGAGTAAGGTGTGTGACGGTCGTAACCGCAAACACCTTCGCTCACGCCTCAGAAACCAAGGCACGGTCTAACCTCTCTTTGAGTCCGTCCCTCACCCACGTGAAGGGCTCACCATCACATCCAGCGTCAATTAACTCGCAGTCCGCCACCGTCTGAGCAAAATCCCACATCTCCTGTGACCGATCCGTACGGCCACCCACACGTTCATCGGGATGCAGAAAGATGTTGAAATTGCCACTAACCATCCATGGCAATCCCTCCATACTCTCGGCAATCTCATGCAGGGTGTCCCAAAGGTCATATCGCCCGACCCTAGTACACTTGGCATAAACCAATGTGTGAAAGATGGGCTCTGAGAGGTGCGCAGCGGAAAACTCAACGTGAAGCACCTGATCGGTGTCGCGGAGGACCCGACAAGTGTAGTCACGCGAGTGGAAGAACCAGATCTTATGCGAAATATTACCCACGCTCGAGTGGAAGCCAAGACGATGCGAGTAGTAGTCAAAAGAAGGTGTGCGAATCATCGGCTCAATAAAGCCAACAAAATCGACTCTGTGATCACGAATGAGAGAATGAAGGTGTGCGAATCATCTTGTTGCTAGGTTAGTTGTGTTTTGTTGCTAGGTTAGTTGTCTGTTGTTGCTAGGTTATTTATTCCTTTCTGCTAGGTTAGTTAAGTTTTGTTGCTAGGTTAGTTGTCTTAAGTTGCTAGGTTATTTCTTTCTTCCTGCTAGATTAGTTGTCTTTTGTTGCTAGGTTAGTTATCTGTAGCTGCTAGGTTAGTTGTGTTTTGTTGCTAGGTTAGTTGTCTGATGATGCTAGGTTAGTTGTATTTTGTTGCTAGGTTTTTTTTTTTTTTTTACAAACAACGCCCCGAGAGGGCGGAGGATTGGGCTGGATCCCCAACTTGTGCATAGATCAAGACCCCAAAACGGGGGCCAAAAATATCAACAGTCTACAAGGTCTCACAAGCAAAACAAATAAAAAGAAAATACAAAGTCTATTTACGGGCTAACATGTGCCCGAAAATAAAAATGAAAATCTAATCAAATGAGAACAATAAACCTAATCTACTGAAATCGGAAAGATGGATATCCAAGCTGGTCCATCCGTACAAGCGTGCATAGGCGGAGTGGAGCAGTGTCGGTCTGGAACGTATGTGTATCGGGTATGGTGGCGCCAAGGCTGGCAAGATAGTCAGCAGGTCTGTTCCCCTCACGGAAAATGTGCGTGATCCTGTGATTGACAGACCGAAGTAGAGCTCTAATGCGCATAAGCGGGTGCTGAATCTGCCACGAGCCCTGATGGCCCGAAGTCAGGAGGGTGGCGACAGCCGCAGCATCCAGCTCGATCCATATATGACTAGAGAGGTGGACAACTATCTGAAGGCCAATCTGTAATGCCTGAATCTCTGCGTCGTAGCTCGAGGAGGCCTGAAGGGGCGCGTGGAAGGTGGTGATGATGGCGCCGCTGTGGTCCCGGATCAAGCCTCCTCCTCCAGCAGATCTGGTGTGGTGATCAAAGGAGTCATCATTATTCAGCTTGACCCACGAAGAGTCGGGTCGAAGCCAAACAACAGCTCTGGCCCGAGGGGACCGACGAGGCGGTGGGGAAGCCACCATGTAGCGGTGTGGCGGCGTGCAGCCTGTCCAGTCTCGGGCTGTGAGCCTGCCCAATGCTATGAGAAGTGAAATGTGTCTCTCTACCTGCAAAACAATGTGAGAAAACAAAAAAGTAATATCCCTATGCTTCGCGCTATTCATCTCTGTCTAGGTGAACCAAAGGATCAAACAAGGAATGAGAAAGGCCACGTGTCTAAGGTGTGTGCTCTGTGAGAAAAAACTCAGGAGCTCAAAGAAACTGTCTGTGGTGGGTAGGGATATATGGGTCCAAGTGGCAAAATGCTCCCACACTCTTCTCACAATCTCACTCTCTAGAAAAAGGTGGGTAAAGGTCTCGGTCTCATGGCGTCCAGTCTCAGAACAACACACACACCGGGAGGGGAATGAGATCCCCTAACAGTGTCCACGGGTATCCGACGCAAGAGGAGGCGCCAAAGGAATACCGAAATGGTAGTGGTGAAAAGGTCGCTCCAGATGGCCCCGAAGAGAAGATTAGGCCGATCACTCAGCCTGATCTGCTCCCAAGCCGATGTAGTAGAAAACACACCCGATGATGTAAGTCTCCACCTCATACCATCCGAACCGTCCCCCGAGATAGGGATCTGCTGGATCTGATCTAATAAATGCTCGCTAAAACCCGCCCCAGAGCCCAACTTTCTATCTAGCTTCCCCCTATCCCACAACCCATCCGTCCAAAGGTCGCTCACAAGCAGGTAGGGAGAATGCGACACATGTCTATCCCTTGACAACGGCCTATCACCGACCCACCACTCATCCCAAAAACTAACATCGCCGTCGCCCAAAACCCAGAAGATGTGATCCTGGGAGCGCCTACCGACCCTAGTGAGGCGCCGCCACTGTCTACTATCGTGATCGACAGCCGTCACCCAACAAAGGTGGTTGGCACGTCTAGGGCATTACTTGCCGCGAAGGTACTGAGCCCAAAGCGACTTTTCCTTCCTGAAGTGTCACCACAGCTTATAGGAGAAAGCTGTAACAATGTCCCTGAGGTTGCCCTTATATAAAGGGACCCCAAGGTAGGTAATGGGGAGGTCGCCACACGCAAAGCCAGTAATGTCGTGGACCCGCTGAGCCCACCTGTCCGCGGTGGAAGAGGAGAAGGTGAAGGTGCTCTTCTGCACACTGACCATCTGACCGGTGACCGAGCCATAGTGCTCCAGAAGGCGCATAAGCTCGACCAATCCATCATCATCCGCCCGGGTGAGATGATGATGTCATTCGCATAAGAGAGGTGAGAGATGGTAGGATTATAGCTACGGGTGCTATAAGTCATATGGGGGAAGTCGCGGATGAAGCCGTCAAGGCAGCGAGAGAGGTAGTCCGCCGCAAGAACGAAAAGAGAAGGGGAAAGGGGGTCGCCCTGTCTAAGGCCTCTAGAGGATGGAAAGAAGTCGGTGGGGCTGCCATTAACCAGGACCGAGAACGTGCAGTGCTCCACACACGCCTCCACAAAACTGATCCAGCGCTCAGGAAATCCCATCCTAGCCAATGCCTCCCTAAGAAACGGCCACTCAATCCCATCCTAGGTTATTTCTTTCTTGCTGCTAGGTTAGTTGAGATGTTAGTTGAGTTTTGTTGCTAGGTTAGTTGTCTTAAGTTGCTAGGTTATTTCTTTCTTGCTGCTAGATTAGTTGTCTTTTGTTGCTAGGTTCGTTATCTGTACTAACATCTCAACTAACCTAGCAGCAAGAAAGAAATAACCTAGGATGGGATTGAGTGGCCGTTTCTTAGGGAGGCACTGGCTAAGATGGGATTTCCTGAGCGCTGGATTCTTTTGTTGCTAGGTTTTTTTTTAAAAGAAAAAATTGTAACCCATAGGATTTGAACCTGGTACCTCATGGAAGCAAGACAAGCAATGCAACCACTACACCACTCAATGTTGAGTGTCTTTTGTTGCTAGGTTATTTATTTCTTGCTACTAGGTAATTTGTCAACGGGTCAACGCCGGAAGTCAACGATTTTCGCCGGAAGTCAACGGTCAACGTTGGAGTCAACTAATAATTATTTTATTATTTAATTAATGTATATTTTAATTGATTTTGATCTAGACAAAATGAGTGGCTAAGATTGAGTTTCACGTACTCATTTTAAGGAGTGGTCTCATTAGATCCGTCCCCTATATATATATATATATATATAAGGAAATTTATCGTATAGTTCAAATTTGGGTTTCAAATTTAAAAGTCAAATAAATAATTATTCATAACTTACGTATCAATATTAACTTAGGCATAAATGAAATAGTCAATTAATTATAGTTTAATAAATTACTCAATAACTTTAATTTTTTTATTCTGATAGTTTATACAAAATTAAATTCATTTTAATTATTGAACACTATAAGTTATATAATTGTACTTATTATTCACATAGATTTTTAAATATATGATAAAATTTTACGAAAAGAATTATTTTATGGAATCACATTGTAGTCCAATCGAATTTCTGAATAAATATTTTAAAATGACACTTATTTTGAAATAAATATAATATAATTTATTATCAGTTACGTGCACCATACGGGTTGTATACTAATTAAATTGACATGTTTTATGTAATTTTGCACGATATAAATTCATATAATATTTTCAATAAATTAATATAGGTAAATGTATTACATATTGATTCAATATTTTTAATTTATAAATATCATCTAATAATTATTTTTAATTTATAAATATTATTGAATATCTCTTACTCGTGCATCGCACGAGATTCGTACTAGTTATTTTATAAGAGGAGGGAATGAACTAACTGCGTTTTGCCTTTTGTGCTTGTGAGTACTGATACGTGGGATCTGATGGTGAACTCTTCACATGCGTTATTTAAAGGCCTCTCATGGGCCGCCCGAGAAAAATATGGACCCAAAAAGATGAAGTGCCTTGAATAAGTCAATGGGCCGAAACTCCAATCGGGTTAAGCGAGAAAACATCAAGAAATTAAATAAAAGAAAAAAAAAAGACAAACTAAAAAAGCACGAACACAAATAAATTGGAGAAGAAAGAAAACAATTATCCACCACTCCTCCGGCGCGCAGTCCGCGGTCCGTCCCCGATCAGCCGGCACGACGACCTTGGTGTTACTGTCGAAGCTCCAAAGAGGTAAGTTCTTACTTTCTAATCGTCTTACCCAATTTGCCTCCATGAGTAAATCCGAATTTCATTGGAACAAATTTACTTTTTTTCCCCTTAATAATGGTGTAAAACTATAAATTGTGTGGCAAAGGGATTGGGGGCTCTTATTAATTGTTCTTCAGCTATAAATTTTATGTCCCGGGGGCGGAGTTTTGATTCTTGTTTTATTCTTTAGTATCTTGGGATAGTTTAGCTGCTTTACTGATATTGTGTGTTATGTGATAGTNGAGAGGTTTTGGATTGAAAGCTCTGATTGATGTTGGCAGGATAATTAAATTTGAAAGAATTATATGCCATAACTCCAGAATTTTGATGATAATGTATTAACTTTTCTGATATCTATTCCATTCAGTTTCCTCTTATAAAAAATGTTCATATCTTTACAACGTTTGGGCAACTTTTCTGAACGCAGCCTCAGGCTTACTAATCTACAGGGCCGGCCCTGATAATGGCAGCCATGATCGACACATCAATATTCCACAGACGAATATCAACGTTTAGATTCAATAATTCCAACTACCTGCACAATTATAATCTTGTTTGTTGCCGATATCGAGGTTTCTATGGGAAATCCAGTCTTTTACAAAACTACACGACATCCTTCCATTGGCAACCTAGAAACTTGAAGCATAGAGGTTTCATATTGAACAATCATCGGGACTGGAAGTTTGCCAAAATCTATGCCAACAGTCCTCGGGAACACGACACCGACTCGACCAATACAACTGAAACGAGTGGGCCCGAAAGCCCCAAAAAACAGGCCACAGGTTCGGGTTCAGGCCGGAGAGAAAAACAGGGGAAGGACAACTGGTGGAACAATAGTAGTAGTAAATGGAAGTGGCAACCAATTGTTCAAGCCCAAGAGATGGGTGTCTTACTCATACAATTAGGGATTGTGATGTTTGTGATGAGATTACTTAGGCCCGGGATTCCGCTTCCGGGCTCGGAGCCAAGGGCCCCTACCACATTTGTCAGTGTTCCTTATAGTGAGTTTTTGAGTAAGATCAATAGTAATCAAGTGCAGAAAGTGGAAGTTGATGGTGTACACATTATGTTTAAATTGAGGAGTGAGGCTCGAAGCCTGGAGAGTGTTTCTGGTGAAGTCAGTAGTAAGTTGATGGAATCAGATTCTCTGTTGAGAAGTGTGCCCCCCACTAAGAGAGTAGTATATGCCACAACCAGGCCAATTGATTTTAGGACACCATATGAAAAGATGTTAGAGAATGATGTTGAGTTTGGGTCTCCGGATAAGCGGTCAGGAGGGTTCTTGAATTCTGCATTGGTCAGTTGTTGATAAAAAAAATATATCTCGTTAATATTATGCTGTTAAGATCAATTAGTGCTTTTCGGTACAGATGTAGATGCTCAACTTAATAGATCCAACTATTGTGTATTGTTTTATTTGAGAGACTAACGATTTGTTGGTTCAATAGATAGCTTTATTCTATGTTGCGGTGCTAGCGGGTCTTCTTCATCGGTTCCCTCTGAGTTTCTCTCTGGTACGACTTGTTATTGGAGTCACATTCTCACATCTGTTCCTAATGGACGGTGTGATGAGCATAGCTTTTCTGACTCCTGTAACTATACAGAATACACCAGGACAGCTTAGGAACCGCAAGTCTGGTAATTCTGGAAGACCTACAGTTCCCGAACAAGGGGAAAATATTACCTTTGATGATGTTGCTGGAGTTGACGAGGCTAAGGAAGAGCTGGAAGATATTGTGGTATATTAAGATTTCCTCAACAGTTTGGCCTAATTTGCTCAAATTCTAGAAAATTGGTATTTGGTTCACCATGAAGTTAGTGTTGCTTTTTATGATTTCATGTTCATTCTTTAATACTGCTTCTGGCTGGACAGGAATTTCTGAGGAACCCAGATAGATATGTAAAACTTGGTGCACGCCCTCCGAGAGGAGTTTTATTGGTGAGTTGTCTTCTATTAAGTTGATAATGGTTTGTTAATTCAGTTGCTCTGGTGTTCCAGATGATCAATTCAAAAGAAAATGTGTTTCCTGTATTTATTTATTTGCAATTGCCTTAAAATGTTCAACAGCAAATATTAGAGCAGGGTTTGTTCTGTTCCATCATTTTCTACACATTCAGTGAATTTTGTTTCAGTTTTCCTTTGCATGTAATTCCATGAGGAGTGAGGACAGAATCGAGTATAATTTGATCCCGTGTCTCATTTGTAACAGGTGGGGCTCCCAGGAACAGGTAAGACATTGTTAGCCAAAGCCGTTGCCGGCGAGGCTGATGTTCCTTTCATTAGCTGTTCTGCTAGTGAATTTGTAGAACTGTATGTTGGTATGGGCGCATCTCGTGTTAGAGACCTTTTTGCACGGGCAAAGAAGGAGGCTCCCTCCATCATATTCATAGATGAGGTTCCTGTTCATCTCTTTCTGCCGACTTTTCTAGTTTTGCCTTGTGCGATTGGCTACAGATTTTAACCGGTTTTGACTGGCTGGATATTTTTTTCACACTTTTTAACTCAAAATCCAACTCAACTTTAATCTAACTTGACTCTCCTCAATATAATTAAATAATATCCATCAATCATTCTCACATATCACTTAACTTTAATTCACTATTCATCCACTAACATATTTTTAACTACCTATCTTTTCCAGTAACTTCTCTCCTACTTTTACATCAAATCACTTTAATCATTACATCAAAATCCCACTCAAATCTCCACTTAATCAACTCTATTCAAAATTAACTCACTTTATCCAATAAATCAAATAAAAAAAAAAAATTATATCCAGTCAATGTACAATCTTCTCATTTCACAGATAGATGCTGTGGCCAAGAGCCGCGATGGTAAGTTACGTGTTGTGAGTAATGACGAGCGGGAACAGACCTTGAATCAGCTTCTCACTGTATGGTTTCTGAATCTTGGTTTTCTTTTAGGAATTTTTTTTAGTTTTCCTGAACGACACAAGCTTACTCGAAACTATATACGCAGGAAATGGATGGATTTGATAGTAATTCAGCTGTGATAGTCCTTGGAGCAACTAATAGAGCAGATGTTTTAGATCCCGCCCTCCGTCGACCGGGTAGATTTGACCGAGTTGTCATGGTGAGTTGGCTTGTTTGAGGTTTTTAATTTAAGATTCCCACAAATTTTAGCTCTACCTTTCTGTGTCTGAGATTAATTATCTGGTTTTCAGGTTGAAACACCTGATCGTATTGGGAGAGGAGCCATTTTAGAAGTACATGTGTCCAAGAAAGAACTTCCTCTAGGCAAGGATGTTGACTTAGGTGATATTGCCTCAATGACGACAGGCTTTACTGGGTAATTGCATTCTTTGCTTCCACTGATGCTTGTTCTTTACCGTATTATGAAAAGTTTTAAGTGTTTCCTCCCCATCTTTCGGTTGTTGTGCAGGGCAGATCTTGCAAATTTGGTAAACGAAGCCGCCTTATTGGCTGGGCGGAGTAATAAATCTGTGGTGGAGAAAATCGACTTCATTCAAGCAGTGGAGCGGTCAATAGCGGTACACCCCCTTCTTCCTATTTTCTTCTTTTGTGGACCATTTGGGATTCTCTATAGTCAGAAATATATGTTGTTGCTTGGTTTGGCAGACTAGGCAGCAAGGGCCCAAAAAGATCATGATTTTAGATGTAAATTTTAGGGTTAAAATTAGTTTATCACCAGACATGATGATCAATGGACGACTTTTGCCAAAATCGTGGAGTCCGGTGGCCACCTAGCACCTGGATTTTGTTTTCAAACCGATTTTTAGTGAAGGGTGGTGGAATACCTTTAAATCTACAATGTGACCATTAAGTACCTGAACTCTTGATCAATCTATGACTTTATTTAATTCAGGAAATGTCAATCACATATTGATATGGTAACTGCTCGTCAGAAAACAAAAAAAAGTAGCATTAAGTATAATAATCCTATGATATACATAAATCAAACGTCAATGAGAAGTTTTGTTTCAGTTTTGTGGGAATTCTCAAAATTTGTCAAAACCGGATATTCAAGCCCATGGAATGTTGCTTGACACACTGCTGGGGAATTGTGATGTAATGTTATAGCTTGTTATCAATGCAATTACCTAGACAAGCGAGATAAACTTTTCCAACCATACAGTCACGATTTTTGTATTAACTTGTTCTTGGTTTTGGTTTCTTAATATCTGTGTTTTACGTTGCAGGGTATTGAAAAGAAGACGGCCAAGTTACAGGGCAGTGAGAAAGCTGTTGTTGCGCGACATGAAGCTGGTCATGCAGTTGTGGGAACTGCAGTTGCAAATCTTCTTTCTGGACAACCTCGGGTTGAGGTAATATAAGCAAGCAGTTACATTGTCTTTGACCTTTCTTAATATTAAATCAAGTGTTAATTGCAAAAAGAATATATCTTCACTGTCACCCCTTTTATATTTATATTATTTTTAATTGCATACTGACT